CCCCTTTCACCCCAAAACCCTCCCTGCCGCCAATTGCCCGCACGCTCCAGGCAGCAACGCAAATTCCCCACTTTACCTGCCTGCTGCCTACCCAACCTGACGTCAAAGCAAACAGCAGCCAGGGAGCTATGACCGCAGGCAGGCAGCTGGCAGAGTCACGTGCCGCACTAAACTAGTGGCTTCCCACTGTCTATAAAAACCTGCTCTCCCACCTGTCTTTTGCAAACCAGCTCTCGTAAGTCTTTCCCCTCTTACCCCCTACTATCAGCTTTTGACCACATGTGCTAATGATGCCTCCCAGTTTGCCTTTTGGCTTAGATCAAGTGTAGTATCTGTTCTTTTCAGTTTAATCTCTGAAACGTGACTACGGTCACATTCAAGATTATTCTTATTTTTGCAACTAGTGGACGGCTCCCTGGGCTTGCTCATAGCCGCCCTCACAGTGTCGTTCGTATCGCACTACTTCGGACTGACGCGAACCTTTTTTTTTTCATTGAGTCTTCTGGATAGCTTCCAGTTGCTTGAGGAAGAATAGTGAAATTGCTTTTGTTCGAATTAAGCGATATTGTGCTGCGCTTATCGGAATTTTAAGCCGGGTACGCTGAACGCGTTCTTGGCCTTGCTGTATCTGCCTTACGACTTTGATCCCATGTACGGATGAGCGAGCGAACAAGTATCAGAACAGACGTTGCACGACAAAATTACCCTTTGTCTTCTTGAGTACAGTAGATGAATGTAAACTCTTTAGACAGGCATCTTGACCTATACCACGAAGTTCACGAGCAAACCGCCAGCCGAAACCACCGAAACCTCGAAAGGATTACCCACGAAGTCGGGCCCTGAGACGTCTACTCTGCTTTACCCGGTAGACTCTTGCGGCAAAGATTCCAAGACGGACTCTCACGTAACTGGCGAAACCAGAAATCGCGGCCCACAAAGTTATTCTATATTGTAGTAAGTTTACTACTTTGTAGACACTAAGAACACAGCAAGTCATAGATAACTGTGACAATTACTAGTACTTTTAGAAAGCTAAGTGGTAAAGTAGCGGTAGTTGTCATAGATCTCTGCGCATGCGATCTGGGCTGGTGGCTATGACGTTGTAGTGTGTTCATATGAGTTTGCCGCAGCAAACGTTAAGAGGTGAGTCCAGTACATGAACACTATCAAGGCCTGGAGAAAAAAATGGTGACAAAAAATGCTCTAGTGCCCAAAAGACCTACAACAGCGCTAGCCACCAGTTTTGGGCGCTCACTGGACTTCCTATCAAGAGATAATATACCAATGAAGCACAAATGGATAGTAAAAGAGATCGAAAGCGGGAAAGCATCTCGAGAAATTCGTGGAACACAATTACGTTTGCTCCGAAGATTCTTACAAGCTTTTCGGATCAAGACATGTTCCATTCAACCGCTGAAAAGATCAACAGCCGTTACAGCAAAGATCAATCTAACCGAGAAGAGAAGAGGACCAAATGGTTGGAAGACTTGGAAGAGTGAACACCAGAAATGGTTGATGAATCCGAACATCTTAAAACTGTCACAAAGTTTCTTGATTCCATGATCACGAAACATCCAGACCAAAAGATTGTGGTTATGTTACAGTATCTTTGATACCTTGATGTTGTCAAATAAGAAAGATGAATCTATCATGTAGAAAAATCTGGCCTCCCAATACACTTATCTAGCGAACGATAAACCAGGTACTTCAAGGAGCAAGAGCCCACAACACGCTGTAGATCAATTAATACAAAAGAATGGCTTACTTTTGCTATGTTCTGAATCCAGTTTTCTCTGGTAACCCACTAATCCCATTATTTTCAGGCTCTGCTCGCAAAGATTGACGTGTGTGTGTGTGTGCTCGAATCAGGTTGATTCGAGAAAACTGTTCCACCAATCCAGACCCTCAACAGCCATCCAGGCAGATTCTCTGCAGAAGATTATACTTATTTTTTCAGACTAGTGGATGGCTCACTAGGCTTTGCCTATAGTCATCCTCACAGTGTCGTCTGTATTGCACTATCTCGGACTAACGCGAACGTTCTTTTTCATTAAGACTTTTGACTACACTTGGTTACTTGAGGAAGATTAGAATTTACAGCTCGCTTGGTGGATGCTTTGCGTTGCTGCTTACCCACCATCTCCGCCCTGCCTCGCCATTCGCTTCGCCTCCCTGCCCTGCATTTCGCTCTTCCTTCACTGCATCCCCTCCCTTTGCTTCATGGTTTCTGTGGTGGCTTCGCGCATTTATCCAGTCTTCGGACCCCGTAGGCAAGTCGATTAGTTCGCGTTGCTGCAGGGTGAGTGCATAGGCCTGACGCTTTGCAGCACTCTCTGTGTGATGCGGTTCTTTGCAGCTCATGCTATACGCAGTCACCCTTGTCATCGTCTACCATTTCAATCGGTATGATAGGCCGGTACCTAGTTCGTCTATACTTACATTGCCTTCGATGCAACTTTGTATCCAAGTTAGCTAGCAAGTCAGAACCGCATTCCTGGCAGTGTTGTCAAGCCGTTAAAATGTTGGTGCCTGTGCTGTGCTGCTGATTGGTTGTCCATCAAAGTTTGAGCCTCGCCTCACTGCCTACGCCTCACGTATCTCCGACATAGACAAACTCCTAGATTATGCTGGGCATGCCTAGTTGGATTATATGCATCAAAGCAGAGAAGGAAGCATAGTGGCGCCTACCTGTAAGTTTACACGCTAACGCTTATGTTTGCTCATGGTGCACGTACCGCTTTTGGGGGGATTCGGCACCAGAATCCTTAATCTAGATATTGTTAGTGTGAAACAGGCCCAACACAATCATAGTACCAGTTCAGTTTACAGAATACTCTTCAAGACCAATCCCCCAATGCGAGATCCAAGTTCTGGTAGCTCATTGCTTTTTTGGCTCTAGAGCGTTTCAGCCTCGCAAATGGCCCCCTAAAACACGGCTGATTCGATTGTTTATCGCAGCAGAGCTGCGTTGCGTCAATCTTAATTCCCTGTCTGCCAAGGACATCTGGTTACACGAGCAGCGGCACAGTTCGTAGTTGGCTTTGCTGCCTATGATTTCAACCCCTGCCAATGCTTTGTACCACACCACGATACATGATTATGCGCCAATCAGCGAACCATCAGTGGTGCTATCAGAGAAGGTCTGATCAAACGCATCCCCACGCAGTGAAATAACGATTTCTTATTACCTTTCATCAGTGTATACCCCGGACTGGTGATCCATATATTAGCTGCAAGTCGCGAAGAACAGACTGGTACACTAACGCGGACGCTTTTTTATCATGGCCTTAGCAGAAACATCAGTTTACCTCGGTTTCTGGACCAACTGGTCCCACGGCGCTATAAACGGACTGACTTATACAACGACACTAGAGAATGGTGCCCTATTTATTGCATTTCTCGCGCTTTTCGTCACATATACGGGCACTTGTTTCTGGAGCATCGCCTCCTTCACTGTCCATCAAACGCTGAGTCGACAGGCTCCTCAGAACACGATATATCACCAGCAACAAGCGATACTTCGCACCTCCGACACCAGCACGATCGCTCTATGGAGGTTGATAAAATTAACATGGGCTTGGAGAAAGACAATGGGTACTACCTCGTTCAAATCAACTCTAATACCTCTAGCCACAAGTCTAGCTACCCTTTCCGCATTCACTATAGCCAGCATCTTCTCCTCACGAGTTGCTTCATCTAGGGGCGGCGAGGTCCTAATCGTTGGGTCTAATTGCGCTGTTTTCAACGGCTCTCTTATGACACAAGAGAATCACGGAATGACCCAATATTATACTGCTAGTAGGATCAGATCAAGCGCTAGCTACAAAGCAAACTGCTACTCAGGCTCTAAGTTAACAGAAGGCTGTCACACATTCGCTCGAAGTAGCCTTCCCTTCATAGTCACACACGGCAACCCTTGTCCTTTTCCTGGGAAAGACGCAATATGTGGCTTAGAGAATGGCTCTATTCGTTTAGACTCCGGATTTTTAAATAGCCATTACGATCTAGGAATCAATTCGCCACCTTCGTCTCGGTTCCTCTACCGCTCTGTCACTGAATGTAGTCCTATACGCGATAAAGGCTATATACGATTCAACAACATGAAAACGCCAAAAACCGCGGAATTTTTGTATGGAGATGACTCGGTACACTGTGGGAGAAATTCAGATGGATGTACCATGGATGTCGGTTTTGGAGATGGACTAGGTAGTCGAGCGGCACGTTCCCAATACACACTCTCGTACGTGCTCCCTTTTCACTATATTTGTTCCAGAACTGATCACCACTCTAGGGTTGCTACAAAATGGCAATTGCCCAAGGATATGGACTTTGCCAACACATGGGAGCCAATACCTGAGCTATCGGTACCAAACACAGACGTCAATGTCCTTTTCTTGCAACCGAACTCTATTTTGTACGCTACGCCTGTTTATGATCCCTGGTTCGATGCAACTTATGGACCCCTTATTGCTACCTTGACACGGGGCAATATCACTGTGTACGCGAGCAACCAGCCGGCAAAAGCTTTGGCGTGCGCTCAACAATATCAGTTTTGCAACCCGTCCTTGCCCCAAGATATAAGCTGTACACCACCTATGGGGATCCATGAAGCTGTTATAGCTGCTTCATCGACGCTTTTCAAAGAAAAAAATAGCAGGGATGCCTTCGATTGGTCTGCGCTTGCGATTCGGTATATGGCAAATGGGTTTACTGAGATTGTCACTATCTTGGGAGGCACAGCCCTTCTCGCAGGTGATACCCTCTCTGCGGCTGGACAGGATAGTTTACCTAACAATCAATGGGAGCTTGAATTGGAGCATTGGTTCAAGATTACTTTGGCCGATATCCAGCGAGCGATACTCGATCAAGCGACTGGCCCAACAGATCCAAGAGCGGCTTCGTTTCACTCACCGCCTAAAACTGCTGCAGCGCGCACCATTTGCAACAGTCAGAAGATAAGATCTGACTCTTATACTTCTTTCAACGTACTCGGCCTTATAATCATTTTTTCTATCGGCGGTCTTATTATATTAATCTCAGCTTGTCTGCCATTAGTGACTGCGCGGCTACAGCGAAGCCGAAACCCGTTTGCCAGCCTAGAGTGGATCTCTAATGATACACTACAACTTCAGCGACTAGCTCATGAAGCCGTTGGTGCAGGCGAGTGGAAGGGCGCATGCGATGACTACCCATTTACGCGAAAGCATGATCTCTTGGCTGTGCTTGATATCACCGATCGCAAGCATCCAGTGCTCAGGGTAGAACCAGAGGCAGCAGAAACTACAGAGATAGAGCCAAACGACAAGGAGCAGTGTATTGTGACGGCTGGAATAGCTGGTTCGACATAGGCATCGCACACGTCTTTAGACTTTCCAGGATGACGTGCTGGCGTATGTTAATGGTTAGCTATAACTATGCATAAGATTGGACATTTGAGCACGATAGTAGGATACGTATTTAAGACAAAACTTAGTAGGAGTTTACGTATTTCCCAGCTTTGATTTTCCAAGCGTGGGGGAGAATCTTTCAATTTACAGTGGGAATTGTTTATCCTGATATACCTAGCAAGACCTGAACCACCAACTACATGCTCATCAAACGGCATATGGATGTGCAGTAGTTGACGAACTGTATCAAGGCAGTGGCTCAGCCTTGCAACTCATGACTCGATGGATGTGCTGAATGTTGTAGCTCAGCCGCACGCCCATCACGACGTACAGCTTCAGCACCTATCTGGCACAGAACGACTGATTCTTTGATATCACGACGCACAAAACTCTTCACCGAGTGATAACGCGATCCAACATGGTCGTATGAGCCCGGTGTCCGGACGACGGTGTGGAGAAATGCCCGGGGACCCACAGCCCCAGCAGAGCATCAGCCAACAGGGCTCCCAAGTGTAAGTATGCAGGGACTTTCAGCAATTGCCATTTTGGCAACAATGATGAATCTCAAATTAAGTCTACGGAGCCCTTACTGTATCGCTCAGTCTTGAAAATTTGCAGTTAATGCGATTGCCCAAGAGAAGCACTACTAGAACAAGCGGCTGTTACGTGTCGCAACGCGCTCTTCTTTAATACCGATCCCTATATCGACCGCGAGCGCGTGATCAGCGCAAAAGGCACGAGAGTCGCGGGCACTTGCAAGTGGATTATACATGATGTTAGCTACCGCGCCTGGCTGAACAGCGAGGGCGAGGGCGACTGCAATAACAATTACAACACGTGCTTGCCGTGGATCTCGCGCGGGCAATAGACCATGCTTTCGTCCTCCGTCCATAGGGTACACAACCTGTACTTATATGTTAGCACTTTTTGTACTAAAATTCCAGAGACTCACTCTGCATCTAGCGCCTGCTTTTTCCCTCTCTTCTAACATTGTCTTAGCACCAGACCAAATTTTTCCTGCCCAGTGCTTACGCGTGAAAGAATAAACTTAACGTCTTTATACTTCAAATAGCGGTCAGGGTGTATCCTATAGATAGGAACACGCCAGGTCGGCTATTAGTAAGCTTATGTGCCTGTCGTGGGAAAGTAGTCTGCACGCGTTCACATTCCTAATCGAATTCGTCCGCTTCGTAATACTAAATCTGGTCTTGAGAGATTAGTGAATACAGTAACATTATAGAGGCTTTTTTTCGCCCTCTCTGTTGATGAATCGAGCTCCTAAGTGAGGTTAGTTCGTATCCACTATAGTCATTAACTCTAACTCTCTTATTAAAGATATCTGATAACTACTTACTGCGAGTATATCGTTATTAACTTAAATAGATGTACGATTTCTAGTTATGCAGATGATGAAAGCTTGCAATTTCGCCTAGACAATCTCGTAAGAAACGATACTAACTTGGGTTTAAATTCGTCTCTTAAAGCTCCTGGCTCACTAGTATAAGTACTGCTTAAGTCGATGAATAGTAGGCATAGGAGATCCCAGCTGTAGTGTAGAAGGTGTGTTGATGTATGTGCAGTACCTGATTCAGTTCAGTATCCTAAGTAACAAAGGTAACTCTCATGTCAAGGGAGTCATACTTATCCTACAGCTTTTGTGCGTCTTTGTAGTAGTTGTCTGCTGCTGCGGCTAGCCTTTTTTTGCATTGCTTATACGGCTGCATTACTAGAGCGTTTGCTGTCAGGCCTTTCTGATGAAGATTTTCTGATCTTTTGTTTGCTTTCCCTGTGGTTGCAAATGGCACTGTCGGTTCTTATTCTTTCTTAAGAAACCCATATAACAGTCTCATTGTCTTAGCGTCAACGACTAGATGCTCTATGTTTTTCAATACGTAAGGTTCGGAATAAGTAACCAATTACTGTTAGGGAGTTTTTTGAGCTGAGCTGAGTCTTGTGATACACTGCAGCCTCTGTAGCGGATCTGATGATATTCGTGAACCTCAAATTCGGATTCTAGAAACCTGAACCCTTAGAGGGGTCGTTTGTACGTTACTCTTACTCTCATGATGTAGCTTTTTTTTCACAGGATGTGTCCTAAAATTAGTGCTATTATAGCCTCAACTGCAATAAATATGAAAACAGGCTAAAAAAATCCCGACAATCGGAAGCCGAAAGTACAATTCGAGCTCTACAGTGCAGGGCTACATAAACCGTATCTTATACATGTTTTTTTATTGCATTCATTTATTAGACGTAGATCATCGATTTAGTTTTTGTAGCTAATATACATGACTTCTAGATGCGTTTTATCGGAATGACATAGCCAAAAATCTGTATACGCGGAATCAAAATCACGTGACTGGCAGTACGAAACCAAGATTCTATGAACGGAAACACGGAACTGAAATCACATGACTGGGAGTACGGAACTAAAATCACCTGACTGGAAACGTGGAACGAAAATAACACAACGTTTATCTCTGAACTTTGAAGGGTAATGATATAATCCACACTGACTGTACTTTAGCTTAGATCAAGTGTAGTATCTGTTCTTTTCAGTTTAATCTCTGGTAAGTTACACCCATCACGTTCACACCTTCCCCTACTCTAGAAGCTATCTCACGCCTCCACCTGTTCGACTCTTATCCAAAGCGACTATAGCTAACTCTAGTTAGAAATATCCTCACGGGGATATTCAAACGATTATGCTTATTTTTGTCACTAGTGGATGGCTCCCTGAGCTTGCTCATAGTCATCCTCACAGTGTCGTCCGTATCGCACTACCTCGGACTGACGCGAACCTTTTTTCATTGAGCCTTCTGAATAGCTTCCAGTTGCTTGAGGAAGATCAGAATTTACAGCTCGCTGTTACGGGGTTGGGTGCTGATACTTCTCTAAGCTCGATCTGGGCTATGGCGAGTAGGATAAGGTGAATAGCTCCGTGAGAGGTTGTCTGGTGATACAGTAGAGTGGTGTGATTGTAGAAGAGGTACAAAAGGTTCGACAACTACTCATCTATTTAATAGACTAATAGGTAACATTCTTGTGAAGTAAGGTAACGAGTAAGAAAGTACAAGTTGAGTTGACCACAACGAGAGTAATAATGAAATCCATCCATCCTTGTATCCTCATTGCTTCTAGTCCTGGCATCTGGAGATGCTTCACATGTCCTGCCATCTCTAGGTGTCGTGGCATCTGCCTCCTCTTGGCGAGATGCCGGTCACGTGATCGCCGCACCGCGATGATCATTCTACCCGTTGGGATCCCCAGTGGTTTTCCAACCATTCATCGTCATACCCAGGGAGAGGATCCCTCCTGCTATTACTTGTAACACGCTGCTACTACGCAATAGTATCATTAGTTAGAGCTGAGGATAGATGTACGTAGTTGCTGTTTTAATTATCTACCTTATTAGTGTCAAAAATCGTAAGAAATTTTCTATGTAATGTGGTGTAGTATCACGTAACTAGCTTATAAGTATATATTACGATTTTATTTCGTACATAGATAGGAACCTTCTTCGCTCAATCCCTTATAGAGATCAATTATCAGCTCACTTCTATCTACTCGATTGCGGATCGCCCCTCTAATCTTTTAAGCTCGATCACGTATCGTGCTATATTGAATATGTCTTAGAAGACCGGGGTATATATATAATAGTAGTCGCCTAAGTATTATATAGATTAATAGAATCTAGGTGCTCTATATAGCACATAGATTCTGTAAGCAGACCGACATTCTAGCGAAAAGCTATTCAAAGGGCGTTTAACCGATCACATCAACCTCAACTTCAATATCTGATCCTAATACTTGTTGCTGATCTGCCACCACACGACCATTCCTTGTGAGCTGCACACGGAGTATCGCACTGTGATTCATCGACCTTCACAGCTGCCTTGTTGAGGGTATCTGCACATGTGCACTGATTTCCCTTTATACCAATGTACGTAAAACGCCTACACCAATGAGCACAAAACCAGTGAGTCATATCGTTACGCGTCATTGAATCGGCCCGTTCGAGTAATCCATCCATGTCCTTGTAGCAACTGCTTGGTGCCCATCCTCGCTCCACTTTAGCGAGAGTATTGGAAAGTGATTGCTTTTCTGATTCATGCTCATGTTTTGCCGCTTGAAGCTTAGTTTCCAACATTTGCTCGCGTAGCAATGCATCTTTGAGGGAGGCTTTAGCGTCTTCTTGATCCTTTACCACACTGACGATCTCGGCTCTGCATTCTTGTTCGCGATCGAAACATTTTTTCTTCTCTAATTCACAAGAGTCGCAGTTGGTATCCTTCTGTGGAGACATGGGGAGAATTTGGTTGAATATGACGCCGTTAGTGCAACTACAAGAGCAGGTGGGCCTTGCTAACGGATCGACACATTCCAGTGACGGCGTAGCTCCTGGTTCAGCTCGTTAGCTTTACTGAACATCTCGTCATAGTTTCGGGAAACTTACCATTTTTGCATTGGTACGAGTCGCTGGGTGCGTTGATAGAGCGTAGATTCTGCTGCAATGAATCTAGGTGATGCGGCATAGAATCCATATCCAGGGTAGTAGAATCTGGCACATATCCATCAAAGCAGTATCCTGTCGATAGAATTGTGAAAGCTAGCAAAATCGGAGAGGCCTTCATCGTTGATAGTGGTTGGTTTGAATAATTTAATTCGGTTGAAGTTTGAGTTCTTAGACTGTGTCTTGTAGGAGGCTATGCGGTAGAGTAGTAGATATGGAGGATACATTCTTTGCCTGTTACTTTATAGATTTTTCAGACTATTTTCTTTTTCTGTCTAAATGCATTGGTCGGAATGTTAGTTCAATTTTCTAGTCCGATGCAAGTCTCGCATGCGCAGTTTCTATTATTAGCTGCACAATGCACAATGCACGTATAGTCTAGTGGTAACTTGAAACTTCCTGCACGGTACGTTGAGTATTGGCAATCTTCGATCACACTTGTGTATGTTTAACTAACACGTACATCGGGCGCTATGATCACGGCTGTTATTCTGTTCAACAGTTTCATCGAATAGGAAGTCCTAGAGAAAAAGTAAGCCTTCTTATTGGGCATTGTGATAGACTGTAACTCTGCTCACCAAGGATGCTTATGTCCCTACAAAATGCTTTTTATACACACCTTTGGTTCCGTCTAAATTCACATAGGCAAATGCGACTAGCCTCTTAGCTACTTTTTATCTAAACGCAGAAGGCTGTTCTTTTTCAAAAAGCGTAAGGTCAGGCGATCCACATAAGGATGCGGAAAGGAAAGCTCAACGATACTTCTTAAGTGACAAAGAACTTACGCCGTTCGAATGTTTAGCAAAATGTTACTAGGACGCAATCGACACATTAGAAATACTGGATTTTGGGAGGTTGGGGTGCGAACTACTATTCTTTTCCAAGACATAGTTGTCTAAAATGCTATACGCGGTACGTATAAAAACAATAACTCAGACAATACCTTTTTCTAACAATAAACATATCGTTATTTAGTTAGACGATTAAGGGAAATTTTGATCTCTTGAGTAAGTTGCCGCTGGTTCAAGTGAATAACACAGGGATACCGATCAGGGCTTGCTATGTATCATGCCATCGCGCGCCAAAATCCAGAAAAATCAAACATGTTGAGGCGCAATGAAGTAGTCTCGCTACCTGGCAAGCGCATTGAAAAGAAAACAAATTAACAATTAGAGTGTTTTATGGGGTTTGGGACGTTTGCTTCTTTATACAAGTCCGCACTAAGGCCGACGAGCTTTACGCTAGTGTTCCGTGAAAGTTGTCTAGCCTTCTAGTAGAGTGGCGTGCTGATAATGAGAGAATAATAACGTTAATAACTATCAATATATTATGTTAGACCTATAGATAGTACTGTTATTAATTTATTCTAAGTAACAAGAAGGATTCTTTCGTTAATCGAGGATAGAAGAACTAAGAGCCTATAGACGCCCTGCTGGAAGGTAATAATCATCGTAGAGCTCGGTTACGTATTGGCGCCGACTATTCACCAATTCTTGGATCTTTAGAAAATCACCTTAGTTCAATCCACGAAACCATGTTTTTTTAGCCTCGGCAGATCATGCATGTTTCCATAATCATGTTGAGATCCATGTGTTCTTCTTTCGTTTTTGCTTTTACTGTCTTCACCGCATTTCTTACCTAGGGTTGACACTTCGGCTCAACATGCTCAAACATAGAAAGGAAAAGAGCACGCATTTTAAGAATAACCTTTCATCAAGACCACGCAAACATAAGCAAATCTCAATCCGATGATTGTGCGCTCTAAGAATCAAGTTACACGGGGTTAGGCTGTACTTCTCTAATTCAGACCTGAGTGCTACAAGTAACAAGAAGAATTTTCTTCTCAACAAGAAATGAGAACACTAGAGGCCTGGGGACGTCGTTTGAGTAGATAGTCTTACTACATGTATGCGCTACGCCTGCACGCCATTCAGATACGCACCGAGATCTCATCCAGAGGACTATAGCCCATCATAATGTGCTAGTACAGCCTCTATTATGACTTGTAAGTGCTTGTATTCTATTTACTTAAAGTTCCTAGGCGTAGTATCACTAGTTGTCAACCTAGAGGACCTCCTAACAGGAACGACTTTCTCTTCGCATACTTACTATCGCACTCGTTGCTGCGTGAGGGAAATTGTGAACGAGTTTTTTTTTTATTATTCTCTACGTCATCTCATCTACTTATATAGAGACCATTCGTCAATCTACGATCAATCAGTAACGTACGTGGCAAGCAAGCAGTGCACCCATTACGCCCAACAATCACTTATCATCATCTGTGGCGATTCTCTGCAAGTTCTTTGGCGCTATAGTGATTTTGGAAATCGTATCATTAGAGCCTGGCTGAGCCCATTAAAGATAAGCAGTGTAACATAAGGCTAGTAAACTAAATACTAGTATATAAAAATTAATTCTATCTTTCAAATTTAAATAACAAATAGTTTTAGTAGAGACATTAGTGGTAGAAGTACTGGCGTTAACATTTAGTGATGGGCCGATTTCGGCTAGCGAGGTGAAACTTTTTGCTTAGTACTGTAACAACTCTGGGGTGTGGTACTTCTTTTGCGCCATCTGACACACCTTTTGCTAGATAGAGACCTCGACTGTTGCTGCAACTGACCCAGCGTTCAGCCTAAAGCTCAGCCTCGTCTTGCTTAATCACTGGTGCGCACATGTCTATGACAACTCTGCGTGTACCTGCGCATGACAGAGAGTACCACGATCGAGTTTGGCTCTGTGATCGAATGTCACTGCTATCACACACATCGTACTTCCGTTGCCTACCGGTCCACCGCTCCAAGGCCGTGTTGGCAACCCTCACGATGTTACAATCAGAGGTTTTGGCTGCGAGCGCAAAATCATCTCAACAAGGCATAGGATAAACCAGTCGAGAGGTGTATAAGATGTGGTAGGTTTGGACAAGGAAAACATCATGTCGTAGCATATGATATTGACTGCTGAACACCTTCTTCAACCTTACAAGAACACATCAAATAATACCCGTCTCATTACCACAATCAAGAGAAGCATCATGGTCGCCCAGCCCCCTTCAGCCAGCGCTTTCGCTCGAAAAGTCGTGAACCCCCTTGGCTTCACCAAAGTCTACAACTTTTGGCTGTACATAATCTTCGGCGGAGCACTCACTGGCTGTAAGCCCTTCCCGTATTCTCAACCGCCCTCTCTTCCAAACTAATTCCTTTTTTTTCTCTCCTTCAAGTCGTCCTAGCCCGTCTCCCCTACCTCAACTTTTCGCACAACTTCTGCCCGGCCGATGGAACAAGCGAGAGCGGAAACAGTACTGCCCCCGGAGAATGCTACTACTACCTCAACTCTACCCAGTACAAAGTCGGCATCTTGCTTCATCCCGGCGGTGTTCTCCCCGCGAGTTTAATCGCTGTAGCACAGTTCACCCCGTTTATTCGGCACCGCTGGATCCTCATCCATCGCATCGGCGGATATGCCGCACTCCTGCTCTTCCTCGTCAGCCTCGCCGGCGCATTCATGATAATGCGCCACGCATTCGGCGGTGGGCTGGACGTACAAGTCGCGCTCGGTGTTCTGGGCCTGAGTACGCTGGCCAGCTTCACCATCAGCTATGTAAACGTCAAGCGGCTGCAAATCGAACAGCATCGCGCGTGGATGCTTAGAGGATGGTTCTACGCAGGTGCTATTGTTACACTTCGTATTATCCTTATCATCTCCGCGCAGATAACCGCGAAGAAGGGATACTACGTCGTGTGGACTTGTGCGAGGATCGCTGCGACGGTCGCCCCGGACGTTGAGCTTGCGACGGCGTATCCAGCTTGTGCGGCGTATGCTGATGGGTCGGAGCCCGATGCGGTATCAGCCGTAGCAGCGACGTTTGGGGCCGGCGACGCAGCGAACACGGGCGCAGCATTTAATGCGGGGTTCGGTATGGCGCTGTGGCTCGCTCTTGTGCTGCATGCCGTTGGTGTCGAGGTTTATCTGCACTTGACGCCGAGAGAGGCACAGAGGTTGAGGCAGGTGAGCTATCAGAAACAGCTTGAAGCTGGTATGCGGAATCCGGGTTCGGCGGGTCTGACGGCGGATCGCTTGGGGGATGCGTATAGGTGGGTGCCGGAAGTACGGGAAGATCAACTTAGTGCGAGTTCAGCGGAGGTTGTGACTGTGGTGTCTGATGAGATGCTGGCGAGCAAGTGAGAGGTTTACTAGGGAAGGCGGGCTTGGTGGTGCTTTGGGTGTCAAAATAACTATCGATTAGTGTAGTTGAAGAGAAATAGTGTAGTTATTCATGCCGTACTTCAAATTTCAATTATTTTAAAAGACATGTGAACATTTCCTGATTAGAGGAGGGTGAGATGGCGGTGCACTTACCCAAGGTCCTTGAGCGAGCCTCGTTACTGCCCTGTTGTTGCTTGTGTTCCGCTCTTGCCCAATCCATTTATACAACAGCGTCGTGTGCATTGCACTATTTCGGACTTCCTCGAATCTTTTCATTCGATATTTCTAGCTTGCCAGTTTACTTGAGCAATAGAGGGCGGAGACAGCATTCACAGGATATCGAGAGTAGTGACCCAGCGCGACGGGAATCACGTTATTTTTCTCTCTTCCATCCGGTGAAACAGATCGCTGACTATGATTAGACTATCACTTACAGAGGCCTTTTAGGATGCAACCACCGCTCCCAGCGAACCTCATCCGTCCCGCCAATCCACCACCACCAGCCCAGAACCACCGTGATAGTCAACGGAATAACAACAACCCAGTAGATCCAGAACATGTGAGAAAACTGCCACCCGTTTTCTTCAAAGGAGAAGAAAGTCGTGCTGAAGAGTGCCTGGAGCATAGAGTAAGTAAGTAACCCTGGGCGACTTAGTGCACACCTTCTGATCAAGCTTACTGAGATGAAAGTCGCGGGTAAGAAGATCATTGTGAGAAGCGTAATCGATTTCATGACTGCATTGTCGGAACTCGCGAGCATGTTGTAGGCCTACCGGGACTATGTCAGCTCTGAATGCAGGATACGCACGCACAAAGCTGGTGAGAGAGTTTGGTTAGGTTTACCAGGTTTATCTCCTCTTCTAGCCGGTCATGCGTCGACTGCGCACGCCATCTCAGGCTTTTCATCGTCTGCAGCTGAAACAATAGGTATTCCCTCGCTTGCACCGTGTATGTCTTGTTGAGTTCGTCAAGGAATTTGAAGTTGCTGTCTTGCAGGCTGAGCAGCTGCTCCATTGTCTCGATGGCTACTTGCTCGACTTCTATGACGTGCCCTGTGTGTCGTGCTAGATTGCGCAGTGCATCGAACTCGCATCTCTTTTTCCGGTTCTGGTGGTGGAAATGAGCGTTAGTAGTGTAGATTCTCAATGGTCAGTGTAGTGCTACTGGAGAGGGTATCGTACAAGCTCAATGTCCCGAACCCTCCTCGTCACCGCCCATATATTTTCGTCGCACAACTTGATAGTTTCGTCGAATAACGGTTTAAGCATCGCAAGGGGGTCTTGTGGCTCAAAAGTCGGCAGCGAAGATACTTTTAGCATGGTCTCAAGTGTAGCGCTCATTTTTGGTGATGCGCCGATGCATAAGACCCTCCTGGTGTTTGAGCTTTCCCACCGCACGAAAAAGCTCATCTCGTACCACCTGTAGTCCTTTCCATCTTCTGATTCTTGCATTTCCTCCTTCGCCAGAACTCTCTTGGTGAGGATTTTGAACCACACGCCTGTGATGTCGTCGTGAGTGGCCTGTTAATGATCTAAGAACAAGTAGAAACACGCACTGAGACTATCAAGCTTGCTTTCATCCCCATCTCCCGAAAAAGAGCTTGAAGAACCGCAGTAGCCATTGAGCTTGGCGCAAGTATTGCTGCTGAGAATATCCGGCGCGTGAAACTCCGCTAGTATCTTCTTGCGGTTCTCCTCTGAGCAATTTTTCTGCCACCAGTCGTCCGACTTTAGGAAGCTGAAACACACAGCATGTTAGTTTTACAAGTCCAGTATAATATAAGCTGTTTTGACGTTCATCTCTCACATGAAACACACTTCTGGTAGGGTTACATTATGACCTAGCAGGTCTAAGCTGCGTAATCCCCAGATTCCTTTTAAAGCTGCGAAAGATTGTCAGAGAACTCATGATGAACGCTTTTATGGCAAAAAACAGTTTGGGATTATTTACGGTGATATTCTAGTATGGTTGCGACGGAGGGGATAGCAGTCATAATGGGCATTGAGGCTAGAGATATTAATCAAGCGTTTATGGATTCGCACTTTCGTAAACATGCAGTCGATGTCACAGGGCAAGGCAGTAGCAAAGAATAATGAGTTTGAAATACTTTGAAAGCTATCAAAGCTGGGGCAGCCGATAAGTATATTACAGTTGTCAAAACTGGCAACGGCGCTAAGTAGCTTAGCACATGCATGGCCGACTCGCTTGTGAAGCCCCCGCATAGTACTACTACAGTCGGCGCTTCTGCAACCGCTCAGCCCCATCGACTGTCAATTGCATAGCGCGTAACGAGACCCAGCAATACAAGAAACTCTATCTAGAGCCGCCAGAGCGGCCAACTACGCTATGCTATCGCTTCATACCCAGCACAGCGCTCTTCGAAGACTTGAGGTGGCCGTGGCCTGGTTGCACTTCGAAGGGCTTGGCTTAAATCAAGATAAGTGAGCGTTTATATAGGCAGCCAGTTTTCTTCTAACTTTCAATAGGTCCCATAAAAGCTGTAAATGCATGTCCAGCTTGGTGGTTGTGGCTACGGCTGAGCTGCATTTGCATCGCAGCTGGTGCTAACGAGCTGAGGTTGGCGCGAGTACAACCCCCCCTCCCCCCGGCCATGCTTTTTTTCCCTTTCTTACTATTCTTGACTGTTTTATCCCATTCTCTTCTAATCCCCCTACTCCTCACAAATCATTGGCATGGACTGCAGTAAAATCGATTTCAGTTTCTCCCTGCGAAGTCAAACTTGCCCGCCCTCAACTCCTTCTATTTAGACGTCTGGCACCGTTGTCTTCTGGAAGAAACATGCCCACTCGGAGTAACGACTACACTATTGGCTGGATCTGCGCTCTCCATACGGAGCTCGTTGCTGCACAAGTCTTTCTCGACGAAAAGTACCCAGAGCCGGAAGATCTGGACCAGAGAGATGACACCAGCTACATACCAGGCAAGATTGGGGGTCACAATGTTGTCATTGCTGTCTTGCCAGACGGCGAATATGGCATAACGAGCGCGGCAAGGGTCGCGACAGACATGTTGCGTAGCTTCCCTAACATCAGACTTGGTTTGATGGTCGGCATTGGCGGCGGTGCTCCAAGCAGACGTGATATCCGTCTTGGGGACGTTGTAGTCAGCGCTCCTGTTGACGGAATTGGAGGTGTGTTTCAGTACGACTTTGGCAAGACGATACAAGGTCAGGCCTTCCAAACAACAGGGTTTCTGAACCAGCCCCCGCCAGTCCTGCGAGGAGCGGTGAACGCACTCAACGCGATGTATGAATCAGATGGACATAGTTTCAAGAGAGCTATTGATAGCATCCTAGAGGAGAAGCCAAAGCTGCGGAAAAAGTACGGGCGGCCAGATCCAAGCACCGACAGGCTGTATAAAAGCAGCGTCATTCATCCTCCGGGCGATGAAGCCAGCTGTGCGACAACCTGTGGCGAAGATCCGTCAGTCTTGATATCGCGACCTGAACGGACTGAAGAGGAGAACGATCCGGCGATTCACTATGGTTTAATTGCCTCGGCGAACCAGCTGATGAAGGACGCTTCTGTGAGAGACAAGTTGGCAGAGGAGAAGAATGTTTTGTGTTTTGAGATGGAAGCAGCCGGCTTAATGAACAGCTTTCCCTGTTTGGTTGTACGTATTGTGTGTGATTACTCGGATTCGCATAAAAACAAGCAGTGGCAAGGGTATGCAGCGATGGTGGCAGCTGCGTACGCGAAGGATCTTCTTAAGCAGGTTCGTCCAAATCGAGTCGAGGCTGAGAAGAAAATCAGCGAGATACTATCTTCTGGTTAGTTTGCTCAAAATTGTCAAGAAACAGCTTGATTAATGGAAAGTCAGTTGAGCAGAATGTATGCCAGGTACGTCAGGACGTCCAGGGACTGACACGTGAACATCTGCGGGCCGATCTCTATCGCTGGCTGTCACCACCTGATCCATCAGCAAACTACAACAAAGCATTGCGACAGCGCCAGAGTGGCACAGGTTCCTGGCTCTTACAGAGCGACGTATTTGTGGCGTGGAAATCGCAAAAAAGTTCTTTTATGTGGCTCTATGGCATACCGGGATGCGGTAAGACTATTATTAGCTCTACTGTCGTGGAGCATCTTCAGAGCCTTCCTACCCAACCCTTGCTCTACTTCTACTTTGACTTCAACGATACTAGCAAGCAGACTCTTGAAGGTATTGTCCGCTCCCTCATTGATCAACTATACTGCGCGTGCGAGGATGCTCAAGAGCCGCTAGATGCACTCTTTCTCGTTCACAAACCCAAAAATTCGCAACCAAACATCGAATCACTTTGTAACGTTCTGCTGCAGATGGTAAGGCAAACACAAGAGGTCTGGATTGTTCTGGATGCCCTTGACGAATGTATTGAACGCAAACGGGGTCGAACAGAGGGGTTACTCTCATGGATACGAGACCTTGTGAATTTTGGACAAAGCAACATGCGCTGTCTCGTTACAAGTCGACCAGAGCACGACATCCAAGAGGCGCTAAACGACTTGGTTAGTGAGGAAAATAGAATTCACATTCAGAGCTACCTGATTCGTGGGGATATATCTGCATATATTAAAGCTAGGGTCAGGGAGGGTGACGGCGGGTTGAAAAGGTGGCGACAGCGACCGGAGGTCCAGCAAGAGATTGAGAACACACTCGAGCAGAAGGCGAATGGCATGTAAGTAAAACAGCATCATGTAATTGTAACCTCAATATCTAGAGATGTGCAAGTTACTAATGCTACGCAGGTTCCGATGGGTGGCGTGTCAAATTGACGCCCTCGAAGACTGCCTAGACTTACCCTCCCTAAGGAACGCGCTTAATGATCTACCGGAGACGCTAGACGAGACTTATGCAAGAATACTGAATGCAATTCCAGGAAACAACAGAAAGTATGCGCTAAGGATACTCCAGTTCCTTACGTTTTCCAAACGACCTTTGAGGGTTGAGGAAGTCGTTGATGCAATAGCGGTAAATCCTGATCAGAGTCCATTCTTTTCCCCGGACTATCGAATGCCCACACCTCAAGAAATCACGAAATACTGCTCAGGCTTAGTAGTCATCGGGTCGAAGGCACACAGCATTGAAGATAGGAAGTACAGCTATCACGAGGCACTCCAACTAACTCACTTCTTTGAAGATTGGATGTACGGCTATCACGAGGTCCTCCAACTAGCTCACTTTTCAGTCAAAGAGTTTTTCATATCAGATCGAATGGACAGCAACATTAGGAACGTCTTCGAAGAAGCTGTAGCCAATGCATCTATAGCAAGGGTTTGTATTGCATACTTGCTGCATTTTGAGAAAAAGCTTCCACTAGAGTTAGTTGCTCAGAAATTCCCGTTTGCCATGTACGCAGCGAAATATTGGGCAGACCATGAACGAGCTGCTGAAGATGGAGGTGAAGAAGACATGGAGTTGGTTGAGCGACTTCTCTGTCGTCAAGAAAGCTCGTACGACTTTTGGTACAACCTATACCGTCCAAACCAACCATTAGTACAGCCATCTGAGCAAAGTCGACACAGAAAAGCTTCCGCATTGTATTACATGGCATCTGGAGGCCTGCGTAAGGCGGTAGCATTGCTGCTTGAGAGAGGTGCCGATGTTAACGCAAATTATGGAATATACGGCAATCCACTCCAGGCGGCTTTGGTGCGAAATCAGAAGGAAGTAGCGAAAATGCTGCTCAGTGCGGGCGCCGATGTCAATGCGAAAGGGGAGATTTACGATAACCCACTCGAAGTGGCTTCATCTAGCGGCGACGAGGAGGTGGTGAAGCTACTCCTCGACAGAGGCGCCAACGTCAATGCACAAGGAGGGATGTTTGGTAACGCACTCCAAGCAGCTTCATATGGAGGTTATGAGCAGATAGTAAGGCTACTACTCGACGCAGGCGCTAATGTCAACGCTCGCGGTGGGCGATGCGGTAGCTCACTCCAGGCGGCTTTATCCAGAGGCCACGATGTGGTGGTGAAGATGCTCAAAGAAAAGGGTGCGATAAGATGTCCATAGGAGTAGGTTGATGATGTGCTAGATAGCATAATGGCGTATGTGGTCTTATGCTCGGTGTCGCTTGCATCACATTGTATTAATCAAAAGGATATGCACCAGCAACGCGCCTACGAGCTGCAACTCCTACTCACACGTTCGCACTGCACGAGGCATGCCCGCCAAGTTCCTTCGCACTCAGTTGCAGCAGATAACGAGTCTACTATTACATGTCGATCTCCATATCAATCCTCACAGCTTTTCGAGAATATGACTTCGCTGCCCTTCGCCAACCTCTCGAATTAATATCTCTCACATTATTACGTTGTTTTTGAGTCTCTTGAACTAGGCATTGAGAAATTATTCAATAAACATATAGCTCCAGAAAGTCATGATGACACTGAGATCATAGAGACCATCGAGAAACTTTTAAACGTAGCTTCGGATATGAATAGCGCATATAAGCCCTGTATAATCTATATTTTACTTCAATCTCTACTATTAGGTAAATTAGTGCCCTTTTGAAAATATATGTGTATTCAGATACAATGTTCGATCTGCACTATCGATTTCGCGCTTATTCTGTCATGGATTGCATATCATGGGCATTTACAAGCATTTTGAGGCCAATTTTCTAAGGAAGTACACATGTGTTCTTACAAAACTTGCTCATTGAAGATGACACATATCTCTCAACTGTTTCGGCTCGGCTCCATTGCCATCTCGTACTGCGTGACCAAGCTTTCATGACCGCAATGCCCTTACCCTCCTCACAACTTCCCGCAGTGCTTCCATCTTCGTTCCCGACTTCTCCCCATCATCCAATACCTCTTCCAAAATCATAAGATCCTGCTTCGCGACTTTACCCCCATGATGAAACGCATTGAACTCATGATAAGCAAGCGGCTTCGAGCCTTGCCCAGGTAGCGTTATCGCCTTCTCCGTTGCCCAACTCCCCATTACAAGTGAGAGAAACCAGCCCGTCCAGCCGTAGCGTGGAAGTCGTAGAATCTCTGTCTGAGCCCGTAGAAGCAAGCTCCAGAGTTCGCTGTTCGAACGGAGGTGCGAGAACGGTCCGAAGCCGTCAATATCCCAGACAACCAGATGAAGGAGTACAATCGACTGAAATGGGGCCATGACGAAAGCAGGAATCGTGCTAATAACGAGCGCGCCATTGACGTTATAGATCGCAGAGACTTTCTTGACAAGCGTGGGTTGTGTGTTGCCTACCATAAGACCTACACCGGGCATCCCAGGAGCATACAGCATATCTGCCTTGGCTACAAGATCCTTGCTTGCCGTAGCAGGTATCGAGATCTGGGGCGTAGGCTGATGCGCAAGCATGCTTGCCGCCATCAAAAGGCGAGATTTCGGCACGCGCAGATTGCTGGCGTAGTGCTCGTCCATGTCTAGGCCGACGGCATCGAAGACGACAAAGCACTCCTTGTTCTGTGGCTCGTTTATGAGATTGCCTACCGAGCGGATCGTTGCGACTCCATTCTCGGAGCGTGCGGTGTGGCCGTCCAAAGTATCGAAAATGAAAGCGAAGGTCTCGCCCTTGACCTCGGAGACTGACTCGATAACACGGTACGACGAGAAAGTATGTAGTTTATCCGTCTTGTACGCGTATAGTTGCTTCGGGGGTAGAAATGCTGGTTTACGACCGGGCCGTACGAGGTAGGTGATGTCTGCACCAGCGGAGAGGTGATAACCCTGACTTAAGCCCACGGCGCCACAACCGACGAAAAGAACTTTTGGTTTCGACATTGTAGAAATTTTGCTTTCTTGTTCACTTTGAGCAGTTTCTGACGACTATTATACTGTGTTATATGTCACACGTTTTGCGTTGTGGAGATGATAAAATGATGCTTACGTTCTTTTGTCCGATCATCCTACTTGATTTATCATACAGAAGTACTAACGTTAAGGATCAGTCATCCGGCCAGATCAGTCATCCGGCCACCCCACCCAACTTGACCCAACGCTCTGCGCAATTGCTCTATAACAACGT